CAGCAGCAGCACCAGCAGCGAACTCAGAATGTAGGGGTGAGAGAATGGTTACTAGCAGGCGGTTTACCTCCTCTCGAACGAAAAAAATTTCTCTTAGGGGTCTAACTTAGGGGTATATACATATATATATGTATATGTTGTACTGTGAAACCCACAAAGTGTTCCGCCGTATTGACAACGACCTTCTTCTCTTTGAAGAGTGCGTGCTTCTATGCCTCTATATGACCATATCCCCTGTAAAACTCTTCAGTGGCTTAGTCGGTTAGCAAGGAAAAAGACAGCGTGACTCCTATCAAATGAATCCCCCTATACCTATAAATCCATATAGCTCTACCTGCCTACTATAAGACAAGTTGGCACTATAGGGATTGGGCTTATAGGGAACAACTTGGTCATAAGGATGTTATTCGCAGAATATCTGTAGATCAAGTGCGGCGAGGTCCTCATACTGGAGTTCCTATTTTGGCAAGGGCCTTTTTATGAATGTCCCCCAATGTGGAAAAGACTTCAGGACAAGTTCCAATTGCAATGATTTCGCTTCGAGGGTCTATGGGGTTGTTCGTGGGCAAGGTATTACAATGCTTGAAATCGTGATCTCCAGGCCAGTAGCCCGTGACGTTTAAGCCCTGCTCCCTTATGTAACAAGCCCTTAATGCAGAAACCTTCCCAAATGTATAATCTCTCTCTCTCTCTCTCTCGTCTCCTTCTGATCCCCTTTGAGGAACGATGCAAACACCTTCTGATCCCCATCGAAGAACGATGCAAACACCCTGAACCCTGAGACCTCGCAAATCTCCCGATATTGTTTATTATACTCTATATATATACATATATATATATGTATATATAGCCCCTATATAAACCTTGTTCCAAATCATTTGGCACCGGAACCCTAAATCCCTCTTCAGGTTTACACGCTCCACACACTATATATAGATCCCGTATAATAAATTTATGTAGGAATCCTGCAAACCATAAAAACCCCGCATCCATGTCGCGAAATACCATGCAGGTCGGCCAGGCGGATGGGCGCCTGAAGCTGGATGATGGTTTGGCTTCCGGTCCCCTGGCCCTGAATGAGCCTGCTAACGAGACCCCTACTGCCGAGGCTGATTCTGTGAAGGCTGGAATGTTCGAAGCGGTAAGAATTCGAGAAAAGGGTTGCAGGCAACAAGTCAAGAGAATGTAGACAAGTGGCCTTTATAAACTTCACATACATATTTGTATATATATATAGCTATTTCACTGCCGTGCAATCATTTTCTTAGAATGTGTATGCTCTTAGGGGATGTACATTTACGGTTAATAAGGTTTTGGATACAGACATTTCTGAAGGTGAAGGAGGAAGTCAAATTGTACGCCGACAACGTGCAAACGAAGATTTCAACCCTGGGGAAGATGATCGGCCAGTTGCGGCCTCCCTACAACCTGAAGCCCGACAGCTCCAGCAACAAGTCTCCTGTCACGCGTGTGCTAGAACATGATTATTTCACAATTTCGTTTTGCATGTGAGCTGTATTGTTCACATTGTCTTCCCTTAGTTTCCTAGGCTAGCCGATGAACTGCAAGCGCTCATGGACAATCTGAATGAGTCCTACGGGACTTTGGCTACTTTGCTGACGACCCTTGATATGGATAAGATTGATGCAGGCGGCATTACAAGGCAGGTGTTTGCATGGGCATCATGTGGTATAGATTGCATCAACTCGAGAAATCCCTTTCTCCGGAGTCTTGCTCTTACTGACCCCCAGTCTGAAGCTGGACTTTGCGAAGATTCGCGACAAGGTTGCGAAGCCGTACCTCTGCTAAAATATGAAATTGTCTGGGCCCATGTTGTGTGTGTAAGAGAAGTCAGAAACGGAACAGCCAAGGTGTGCCGAGTTGGTTACCAAAGAGGGCTTGTACAAGTCCCTCGGCGATTTAAGCTTAAGTATATACATATGACCGTACGTTCTAATCCAATAAAACCGAACTACAGGGAAAGTTACAAGGTTGCCTTGGTTTCTGAGCTCTACTTTTCTGAGACATGATGCCACACCCAAGAAAGTCAGCTTGCAAAACATCTGAAAGATTCCCATCCTCATCATGTGCTGTCCAAATCTAGCGAAATCTACCCGAAAAACATAACCCCCCGAAGCCTTCTACAGCAAAGCTGAACGGTCCCCCTGAACTGCAGCTTCTAGAAGAAACTTAGTAGCTCCTCGTCAACAACCGTTATACTAAAGCCCAAAATCGGAGCCCCGGAGCCTCTGTTCATATATCCCAACTGAAAAATCCTATGAACTCCAGACCCCTAATAAATCAAGGATGTTGCTGAAAAACATCAATGGTCTTCGCAAGATGGCGAAGGAAACTGCTGAGCAGCAGGACGAGCCTGAAGATGAGAGCAAGCCCGAGGTAACTAGGCCACGTAGGCGTAAAGGAGCCAAGGCCCAAGCCTCGAACCCGACCCCTGTTAAAACTCCGGCCAGACGCGTGCGGCAGAAGGCCAGGAACTGAAGAGGCAGCAGCGAGCAGCCTTGTTCTTTTTCAAAAGAAGTGTGCGATGCACACGCAGTCTTGTGTAAGGGAACGTGTGGGCACTGTTCCATGATCCTGCTCGTGTACGGGCGGGCCAACTACTTGGGGAGCTTCAAAGTTCTCGATGAGCAGAAAAAAGTTCAGGTTCCCTCGCTTGCTGTGTCGCGTTGCTTGATTGTGGCGCAATTTTACTTGCAAGGGTTGCACGTGTTTCCACCACGAGAAGAGATCCCATACCTCATTTACAGATTCCCTCCAAGAAGCGATGAATCTAGCCTGCCATGCTGCGCAATTAAGCAATTAGACTCCCATAGTGGAAAGGTTGCCCAAACTTATTGCTACAAGTTTGGAACGCCTGTAATTGTGTTTCCTTTGCATCTGGCCAGAATATGGTCAAGTTATCTCCAGCACGCTCACTAGAAGATGCTTGTTAAATGGTTCCTGCATTGTGGGATCCCACACATATAGACTCATATTCTCTGATTCCGATGCTGGAGGACAATACATGCATGAGCCCAACGCCAAACATCCGAAAGCATTTAGGGCACCGATCAGTGTCTTGCAAGAAACAGCTTTACAAGCTACAAATCGGCCCTCTGTAGTTACAAAACCCATGCCAGGTCCATCCTGCACGGCAAGAAGCTTTGCTGGCGATCTGGGTCGTGGGGTGCCTGCGCGGCAGATCTTGCGGACTGCGCGAAGTGTCGTTCAGGATTTTGGAGCAGGCTTTTGCGATAGTCTGGATCGACTTAGCCGGGCTTCTGAGAAGCATTCTGAATCTTGTCCTTGCAATTTTTGAGCTGTATTATATGTATAAGCCCTTCGAATTCTTACTTCTCTTACTTCCACTTTAGAGCCTCTAGGATCCCCCTTTACCTATTCTCCAACACTCAGTAAAAGAAGAATTCATGGGTTGCGCCTATAGAGGTTTGCCTTGCAAGCTTTGGAATCTTGCTTGTCGCAGAAATCCTGAAACTAGAACTATAAATAAGGAACCCCCAAAGTTGAACCAAGGAAGAAGTAGCACAAAGTGCTTTGTATGAACTTCGTTTGGGGGTCGACATCAGCTATGTGACGGTTGAGGGCAGTGATGTCCCGTATCCCGTTTTGCGATGCTCGGATTTCCTGATCTATGTGGACAAGTTCAATTTCTGGGATAAGCTGTTGGGAGTTGGTGTACACAGATTTCCGGATGCAAGCCGCCGGCTTTTGGATTTTTGGAGCCGTTACAAACAGCTTTATCCATCTTTCCCGTTATTTGCTCAGGCCACAGAAGCCGAGATTCCCCTGGACCGAGTTATACCAATATATCTTCACGGGGATGAAGGCACCCACTTTAAGAAGAATGCGGTCATGATACTGCAGTGGCAATCTGCCATCGGCGCTGGCACGACCAAAAATAGCATTACTCAGCTGAACATCCTTGGGAATTTGGATGGGAAAGAGTATGGTGCTAACCAACGAGGTGTCACCCTGAAAACCCGTTTCCTTTACGCGGTTATGCCGAAGGACGCACGGAAGAATTTTCCTAATGCTTTAGCCTCTTGACCGGCCTCTACAATAAGACCGTACAAATCCAAATCCTGTGTAGAATGACAAAGCTAGGAGATGTACCAGTACAACAGCAAAACGCTGGAAGACCTGTTCGAGCACATGTGCTTGGATATGCAGAACCTGTGCCTCAATGGCATAACCCTTTCTGATGGCAAAAAGGCTTACATCTCTATTCTTGGATGCAAGGGTGATTGGCCATTCCTTGTCCTCAGGCTGCAATTTATGACCCCATGCAAGTATAAGGGCCGTAGAATACTCCAAGCACAAACCCCAAATAAAGTCGGAAGGGTGTCAAAGCCATTCAGGTAATTATATGCCCCAAAGTCCCAATGAGAAGACCACTATCAGATTCTTTATGCCAATCTCTTCCCAGGTTACAGCAGGGAATCTTCAGAGGAACTTTCGTCGAGGTCCCAAAGCTCAAACAGGGCGCAAGCCTGGTGTTGGCGTCTGCCATTTATGCCGTGCAGGGCAACCCAACTTGGACTTTGAAGATATGAACCCAGGATAATTTAGGAGCAGGCTTTTCGTCGTGGGTTGGGCCTCGAACCTATATAATTACATGTGCTATCCCTATACCATGCTAATAAACCTGAAATGCACCCATCAGCGTAGAACGAAACCAAATACCATGGTGCTGCTGCGAGTGAATTTTAAAGAAATTTTGCGCTTCCGTATTTAAGGAGTGCGTGGCCAGACTTTATGGACACATTTGAGGAGGAGATCCCATGGAGCAACCCTTCCCACTTCACTCGGCTTCTTCCCCAGGACCCTACGCGGATGGCCAGCTTCTACAAAGCGGACATTTGGCATACCGTAAACCTTGGTGTCGGCAAATCCTGGTGTTCTTCCGCCATCGTGCTCTTCCTTGACTTTTTTCAAGGCGGCAGCGTTCCTGCACGTCTTCAAGCCTTGTCGCACGCTTACTTTGATTTTTGTCGCACTTCGGACGCGTGGTTTCAAATATGGCAAAGTAGTTCTCGCCTACTTGATTTTTATATTTAGCCCGATACTGTTTTTACAGCCATTGTATGATCCAAGTAAGGAGCCCAAAAAGAACAGATACATCACGAAGGCCCTTACCCGAGACTCCCTTGGGTGGGATAGTTTCGCTTCCTGCCCTGAAGCTGGCTGGAGCAAGGGTTCTGTTACCACGACCTTCCTGCAGTTTCTTGAACACGTGGCCGCGCAGCGAGATTTGGAAAACTCCGCTGATGAGCGCTTGAGGCTGACAGACGCTTGGTTTCCAATTGGCCGAAAGGATTATGATGTCGACTTCTGAATTTTTCAAAACCAGTTAACGGACGAAACCATAACACTAACATGAATTAACATGTCGAAGCTACATCATACCAGGCCAGTGGGACTAGGGCCATGAATCTCATGATGAAGACGCTCTACACTGGCGGCATCTGGCTGCAAGGGCATGACAAAAGTGGCTTCGTGGATGCTGGGCGACACTTTCTGGAAGCCTCTGCAAGGCTTGCTTTCTTGTCGTTTCATCTGGGTGAAGAACGATTTCCTGTGACGCCAAAGCATCACAGCCTTTGGCACATCGTTCAGCTTGCTGGATGGGAATTAGACATGGCAGGCTTTTGCCTGAATCCGGTCTGTGAAAGCTGTGCTCAAGACGAAGATTTTGTTGGCAGACTGGCGAGAATCTGTAGAGCTGTATCCCCTCGGGCAACGGCCCTACGTACTCTGCAGCGGTACTTGCTGCAATGCAGAGGAATCTGGTTCAAACTATCCTAAGCATGCAGCACCATGGTATAAAGGCTCTTATCCCCAAGTTCCATATAGTCCTATCTTCCCTGAATGCTTAGGGTTGTTTGTGCCAGCAAGAGTCGTGACAGCGAGAGCTCGCCGCAGCAAACAGCAGTCGACCAGCTCATTGGGAAGATTCTCTAAAGGAGGTTTGGTGATTCATCTTGAATTGCTCTTCACCTTCTTCTGGGTTGCACTTGAAAGGTATATGAAAGACTCCACTTCATGAAGGTATGCCTTCCAGCAATGGTTCTGAAAAGGATTTGTATGTCCGTCAAAGATCATGCATGGTGTGGGGTTTTGACATGAAACATTGCAAGCGGGCATGGCATCAGCTTCCACTGGGCTACCATGACCATGAAGGCTGGAGTGGTTTTACCCGTTCGGGTGTCCTTTTAGCCGTTCAAGCTTCAAATCTTCCTGCATTACCTGTAATTTCCCAATGGATTGATTTTTTCAACTCCAGCGGATCCACAGGTAAACCTTAAACCCTAACCCTAAGCCTTAAACCCCGAACCCTTACCCTCAAGCCCAGGAAAGATTGCAAGCACTGCCCGCGCCTTTGCGCAAGCAAACGCGGCCCTGTCAAGACAGGCAAGGTTTCAGAATCGCATGAAAACAGCCAGGGGTTAGGGTTTGTTTAGGGTGTAGCGCAGAACACTGAGCACAGAAGCAGCATGGAACCGCTGGGTAGCCTTTGTCGCTGGCGTGCCGCGAGAGCACACCACCTGAAGCAAGTAGCGCTCTTTTGCATTTGCAGCTGACCTCTGCTACTCCTCAACGCCAGCCAGAGAACAATCTACTAGGTTGCCGCCAAGGAACCCAAATCAAATTAAGTTACCAAACAAAGGTATATAGTAAACAATAGGGGTTCCATATTAGAGTGACTCAGTTGAAGTTCCTTAACAGCAACCCAGTTTAATAGCATCAGCCTGCGCAATCGTTCCGCTGACTTTGGCAGCTTTTGTTTGAGGGAAGAAGCCTGCTGCCACTTTGAACATGTTCAGCTTCAAGTCGCGGCAAAATCAACAAACATGGTAGTTTCCCAATTTTGGGGAACCCAATATAGACACCAAGATAGTATAATTCTTATAATGGAGACTCCCAAAAGGTACCCCCAATTATTGGGAAACCCTCACATCGTGAAGCTCAACGAGGCTAAGTCTGGCCTGGCCTATGCCTCCCACTTCCTTGGAATTAGGATTTAGGGTATAGGGTTTAATGCCAAGTCAGACAACCAAGAACAGAATTCCCTCTCTTTCTTGAGGATTTCGGTAATCGCGAACCCCCAAAACATCCGTTTATAATGACATCTTATAACTGTAGGGCCCTGATTTTGAGGAGTTGGCGTCGCCAAACAACACTTCTTTGTGTATTTGGAAGTGGAACTAACACGAACTAAGTTCTTTTGCGTTTGTTAAGCGGGGTAGCATCCCTGCTTTCTATTCACTAAGGGAAGTACATGTTTGCTGCGGATAGAGCGAACACCTTATATAACCCCATTATCGTAGTTTCCATTTTCTTTTCAATTATCCCTATGTGACCCCCAATATAACCCCAATATAATCCCTATATCACCCCAACATAACCCCTATATAACCCCTGTATACCCCCTATATCCCCCTATATAACCCCTATATAACCCAAATACAACTAAACCGTAAACCCCCAATCCCTAAACCCTAAACCCTAAACCCCCAATCCCTAAACCCTAAACCCTAAACCCCAAACCCCCAATCCCTAAACCCTAAACCCTAATCAAATGGAATCGACTTGGCTCAGCCAAAGCTCGAAGAGATGGCCCGTAGTTACCATCTTCCTGATCAGAGAAATTTAGAATAATTTCCATTCCCATTTAGGGTTTAGGGCTTAGGGTTTGGGGCTTAGGCTTTAGGGCTTAGGGTTTAGGGTACCATTCCCCATATAAATCACCATTTAGGATGAGGTCGGGTGGGGTCGCTTTGAACTGCCCAGTCCTGATGCGCACAGTGTCCCCAAAGGCAAAGCCTTCAGGAGGCGAATGCTTGCCTGGATCAGGCTGCATGTCAAAGCCATGCTTAGTTCGGCTCATACTTAAAATGCGGCATGACTCTAAGTACCTATAGTACCTATGGGTTATGGCGGCTTAGCGTATTGAGGCGAAGTCCATTCAGCAAATCTTAGTATCAACCACAAAGCGCAATGACTGCTACGATTGCTGCAGCTGATGTTGCTCCGCTACCATGGTAACTTGTTCTACCATGACTACCATTGGTTGCAAACTCTGTAGCATGTAGCATGATTGCAGGTGTGTCGTCTCCTGCTGTTGCTCTTGCTGTCGTCGCTACAGCAATTAGATGATTCCGTTTCATTTGAGTCGCGTTCTCAGTTGTAATCTCCCTGGTCCGAACCGGAACTCCACACAGACACACTCCCAAAATACTCGACAGAAATGCTGGGATATCGCATGCGAAACAGGTCCCGAGTCCCATAGTTTGAGGGTTAAACTCTAAGTACAAAGGCTTGCAATGGGTTTGTCATGCAGGTATTCAATGGATATACAGTCCTAACCCTAAACCCTAAACCCTAAACCCCAACCCGCACTCCAGGCCTGTCCAAGAAATCTCCCATACCCACTTCTTGCAGACAAGTTACAGGTGAACGGAGGCCTTGGCAAGGGGATTTCGATCCCTTCATCTACTCATAGAAGCCCTCACCCCTTAAGAAACACTTTTCCCACTGGTAGGTAAAGTCTAGGGTTAGCATACCATAGCTGATATGAAGTAATCAACATACCCCAGACCTAGACGAGCCAACCACGGACATTGAGAGCTTCGAGCAGCTGCTACACATCAGAGAAACCCTTGAAACCTAAACTTATAGGTTCTTATTAATTTAAAGTTTTTAGCTTTTGGGGTTTAGGGTTTAGGATTATTACTGGGTGTTTCTAGGGAATAAGGGAGACTATCATGTAAGGATTATACAGGGATTATGTTCTCTGATTCCCCACTCAGAAGCACTAAGTAAACCGCGTGAGCATATAAGAAGTATGTACGCCCCTTCACTTCATGAAAGCGGTATGCAGGCTATTTTGAAGGTTGCCTCAAGAGAGTTAAGTGTGATAGCGGATTTTGGGGTTCAGGGTTACTGTACCTAAATTCAACAATTCACTAAACCCTAAACCATGGATGCCTCGCAAGGCAGCCCGAATTTACAAGAATCCCTGGGCCTTGCAAAGAAAGTCAACCCCCCCCCCCTAAATATTACAACAACCCAACCAAAATCCAAAATGCGTCACCGTAAATTTTCACATATCTTGTAGAAGGATTTGATGTTGGGGGGTTGGGGGGTGCTGATTATATGTGGGAAGGGGTTGGTGCAGCAGCCTGGGAAATTACCGATATCATTCCCGTATGTCCCTTTTGCATCTACTGCATAACATCCCTGGAAACCCATTGGGTTTACTTAGGCCCGTACTGCACATTCAATCCCTATCAGCCCCAATAGAACCCCAGTTTCTATTCCAGCTTCCATAGTATTTTCCCTAGACCATACGCCGTTGCAGTGTCTATATATCCGTTGCAGTGTCTATATGCCTATTTTCAGCGGGGAACGGGATCTGAGACAGGGACGCTTCCGATTCATCCTGGCTTTGTTTCATAGTGCCCCAACACTGATCATAATCCAGACAGCTGGGAGAATCTAGAAAAATGATCCTCCTTGAGATCTGAATAGGCATTAATGTTGGACCTCCTTCATGATTGAGGCTTATGATATTTTGCGGGCCCTTAAATCAGGATGAGGCCCGATGATAGAAGGCACGCATTATTGTGTTTGATATTTTGAAGCCCAAAACCCCAAACCCAAAAGTAAATGGGAAAGTTATTCGTCTGCTTTGATCTTAAAAGCAGGCCTCTTAAGAGCCCTTTCAAAACCTGCATTCAGAGCTGTAGACTCTAGACTCTAAACCCTAAACCCAAAACCCAAAACCCAAGCCAAATCCTACATCTGCAGCCGACCAGTTCAAGGCTTAGGCACAAACCTGGTTGCAAACCTTAAAATGCATAGTAGTAATAAGAGTAATAAGGAGAATGAAAGTAATAATAATCATGGAGAGAGAAAGAGAGAGAGAATACTACCACAAGTAATTTTATAGTAATACGAATCATCATAAAAGTCATCATAATACTGGGAATAATATAATAACAACATTAGCAGTAATCTGGGCGAAGGATATTCCAGCAGGCCTCTGGATCCTGAACCTTCATTTGGAGGCCTCCTTTAATCTGTCAGCCTCGGCCCCCTGCAGGTATTGGGGCCCAGACCATCTCCTTCAAACCCTAAACCCTAAACCTCTCAATCCCTAGAGCCCTCAGAACCGCGGGAAGCTTTAAGGGGCCCGTAGTGCCTTTCAACCCTGTCAGCGCTCGACACCCTAAATCCTAAACCCTGAATCCAAAACCCTAAACCTATATCCAAAACCCTAGACCCTAAATCCAAAATCCTAAAACCTAAACCCTGAACCCTACATCCTCTCCTTTTCAGGGGGCGACGGCTGCCGGGCCATTGGCATGTCATCCGGCTGAGTCTTCTTGGCAATCGGCGAGGGCTCTTCCACCACTTCACCTGCTGGTTCGGTGGCTGACGATTTAAGGTTTAGGATTTAGGGTTTAGGGTTTGGGGTTTCGGGTATAAGGTTTCGTAGTACTAGTTGCCATAATCCTAAGAATCTTAATAGGAAAGGAAATGAAGAAGTAAGGGCAAAGGCAATGCTAATAAGTATCAGTGATTAACAATAAAAGTTGTTATGCTAATAGTAACATTACCCATATACCCTGGTGTCTAAATCCAAGCCCAACGTGACATAGCAGCTTCCATTGGCTTTCAATGACCCTACAACCCCTAGATGACCCCTCGTCAACACTAAACCTCAGTCCTGGCATCATCTCCCAATTTGAAGTTTAGGGTTTAGGGTTTGCAGACGAGATACCCACGACGTCCGGGTTCCTGGAACACCCCAAGCACAGCAACATGTGGAGGTTTCTCTACAAGACGGGGATCCTGGGGGGCCCTGGTCAAAGGGGTTCAGGTTCAACTGGCATGAAAGGTCGTGGGATTCTTATTTGGCCTTCTTGCTGCATTTTTGCCAAAAAATCTCACGGGAGTGATGTTTCTGGCACTATCAGCTTATTAGGGGTCATATTCAGGGCCATGTATAATCATTTCATAAATATAGGTCAACTGTTAATGAGTGGGGGCAGAACCCCACTTGTTACCTTCTTTATGCTGCACTCCATTTGGTGTTTGTTAAGTTGCTAGTGAGAACGAAGGTCCTCGCTCCGATCACGTCACCAAAGAGGCAAGGCTGTGTTACTGCCAATGAACATGAATTAAGTTAACATGATATGGGTGCATGGTAAAAAATCGGGTGTCCGTATTGAACTGAAATTAAGTTACCACGAAACGGGTATGTTAAGGAAAACCTAGTTCCATCATTCTGGTAACTTAACTTCAGTGCCTTAACAGCAACCCAGATGATCGTCGCTTCGGAGATCATTGCTTAGCGGGGAGTTGGGCTGTGACACTCAAGGAATAAGATCTTGAAATACTCTCGTTGGGACCCCCACATCGTTTCCCCCTAATTGTCAGGAAGCCCCTATTAAGGCTTTAGGGTCTCCGGGCTCTGCACAAAGGACATTGCACAGGACGGAGTGGTGGGCGTCGATGTACCTTGCCTGACTTTTTGTGCCCATGTTTCGGAGTAACCCATGCTGTCCACGATGATACTTTCCATGTTTCATGGCTATACTTTCACATGGAGAGGTGAAAAAAACATGCTCCCATTCTGGCTCCCCACTATAGTACGGCCCCTAGTGTTGAGGGTCGTAAACCCTAAACCCCCAATAAGGTACCAAATTCTGGGCAACCTTCCATGTAGAACCTGCCAGAGGAAGCCATTCTGACCAAACCGATTAAGTCCAAGTGGCCAGAAGATTCGAGAACTAGGGTTTAGGGTTGAGGGTTAAAACGTTGCATGACCCTAAGGCACCTTATGCCTTGGGAATTCTGGCAGTATGGCAGACTAAAGTCATGCCGGATGTTTAGTAGCGACAGTCGGGGCTGTTTCTTGTGGAGTGTTGGTGTAAAGCGTGGCTTGAGGTCGCTCTACGCCGCTTACACCGCCCGCGCGGCCTACGTTTCAACCGCCTCCGGCAATTACACCACCTGCGCCGCCCACGCCGCTGACACCGCTTACACCGCTTACGCCTTCTATGCCGCCGACACCGCTTACGCCGCCTACACCGACGACGCTGCTTACGCCGCTTACGCCGCCTGCGAAGCGCACACCGCTGACGCCCCTTACGCTGCTTACGCCGTCTACGCGGCTTACGCCGCCTAATACGCGGCTTACGCTACTTACGCCGCTTATGCCGCTTTCGGCGCTTGCGTCGCTTATGCTGCTTGTGCCGCTTAAAACTGGGACGACTTTAGGGCCAGAACTCCTCACCAACTTGGACGGATGGGGACAGCTTGGACAAATGGGAACGATCTTTGGACTACTGGGACGATTTGGATTAAGTTCACATCTTCTCACCAGCTTGGACTGATGGGGTGCAGCTTGGACTTTTATCCATCTTTGGAATTCTGGGACGACCAGCTTGGACTGTGATGGGGTGTATCAGTGTATCGGTGCGTCCACGGGAATTCGGTGTATCGGTGTATCGGTGCATCGTCAGATCGGCCGAGGTTTCCCAAAATTAGGGGTACCTGTTTTGGGGGGTCCCCATGGTAAGGAGTATAGTATTTTGGGCTCCCTTATGTAGCAAGCTACGAAGGTGTGAGCCACTAAACAGCCAGTGCAAAACAGCCGCAAACCAAGAATCCGTCTTTCCGCTTCGGCCTAGACTTGCTCGTGCCACCTAGATGCTCCGGAACCATGCTGCCATACTCCGGATCTCCCCAAGTGACCACAGATCCATTCTCCAGAACAGCAGCAAGCGCGCCTTCTGTAGCCTGGATGTGCTGCACGTTCCAAAGCCGGTCCTGCACACTGCTGCTGTCACCACCACATTGAGGATCACCCCAAGTGACCACTGTCCCGTTGTCTAGAATAGCAGGAAATGCCTTCCATGTAGCTTGGATGTGCTGGAATTCTTTAGCTGCTCCTGGACATGGCTGCTGTCACCGCCACCGCTCGCATAACGCCAGGTGACCACAGATCCATCACCCCGGACAGCAGCAAACGCACCTACAGTTGTTTGGATGCCCTGAATGTTCCTCAGCTGCTCTTGGACACGGCTCCTGTCACCACCACGTATCTGATTCCCCCAGCCCAGGTGACGACAGATCCATTTTTCAAAATTGCAACAAATGCACCGCTTTTCGCCTGGATGTGCTGCATGTTCCTCAGCTGCTCCTGCACATGGTCGCTGTCACCACCATCTTCGGGATCACCCCAGGTGACAACGAATCCACTGTCTAGAATCGCAGCAAATGCCCGGCATGTAGACTGGCTGAGCTGCACGTTCCTCAGCTAATCCTGGACATGGCTACTGTCACCACCCCAATTCGGATGACCCCAGGTGACCTCATCGCCCCGAACGACAGCGAATGCATAACTAGTAGCCTGAATGTGCTGTACATGCCTTAGCTGCTCTGTAACCCTGCTGCTGGCACCACCAGTCCCCGGATTACCCCATGTGACCACAGACCCATTGCGCAGAACAGCGGCAAATGCATCAGATGTATTTGACTTGATGTGCTGCACGTCCCTCAGCTGCTCCTGGACATGGCTGCTGTCACCACCGTTTCAGGATTACCCAAGTGACCACAGTCCACTTCTCCAGAACAGCAGCAAACACATCTTCAACAGCTTGGATGTACTGTACGTTCCTTAGCTGCTCCTGGACATGGCTGCTGTCACCACCATATTCAGGATCACCCCAGGTGACAACGGATCCATCCCCCATGATGGCGGCGAATGCTTTGCCACACTTGCTGCTTGCTAGAAGGTCTGCCGCACCTCGCCGTTTCCATAAACAAAGGGACTCCAATATGGACCCCCAAAATACCCGTAATCCTGCGTCCTTCTTATCGTGCCCGCGGAGGGTACCCCTAATTTTGGGAAACCCGCACCTGCAGCGTCAACGCGTCTCCTGGTCTCAGCCCGGCTCCTCCCGCCCGCGGTTTGGCGGTCATCCAAGACTCGGCCTGTGGAATCTCGCAGGACCCCATGCCAGTATCCTGGGTTGCTGTTAAGGAACTTAGATTAAGCTGCCACAATGGCGATATATTTCGAATCATAGGTTTTCCCCAATAGACTAACCTAAATTAAGTTACTTCTCAGCAGCCCAGTGTCCAGGGCGCTTTGGGCATACAACCTCACATGCTTGAGTGAGAGCTCCGTGCTGGCTGGGACTTGTACAGCCCTTCCACTCATCAAGGACACGTGTATAGAACCCACCACCATGGCTTGGGCAGCGCAATATTCAGACATTCTGCCCCGGCTTAGGCAACCTAGACCTCGCAAGCTTGGGTTATAAGTTATAAAGGGGGGTATAAGGAGGTCGACGGTCAACCCCAATGACGGGACTTGTAAGCGCATTTCTGACCTGCTCATTCAATGCCCGGGGCCTTCAAATAACGCCTTGCGATGGCCCCGAAAAAGTTAAGGGTTTAGGCTTTGGAGTTCAGGGTTTAGGGTTTAGGGTTTAGCGAAGTGGAGATGCTAAAGCCCCAGACGCTTGAGGGCTTGGGGTTCGGGTCATAGGATCTTACCTTGACAGCATGACGCTTGGCAGAAGGTCAGTTTGGGGCTACGTGATTCGGGTTCAGGGTGTCGCGCTTGGAGCTTGAGGAAATTTTGGCGTGTATGCAAAGAAAACGATGCTGGCCCTCAAAGCGAAATTCCTATACCCCAAAACCACTAACAACCCTAAAACCTGAAAGAACCAAAGACCCTGATACCCTCAACCCAATCTTTCAGGAGCAGTTCGAAAATTTCACCACTGGACCTACTGGCGCTTAAACTTAAACTGGGAGTGGGATAGCGGATCCCCAGAATAATCCAAAGACAGTCCCGAACATAGCCATATACACAATTGAGGGTTCAGGGCTTAGCTACAGAGTTTAAGGCTTAGAGGTCCCCATTTTCACTGCCCCACTCCCACCGAAGGCATGCCCCAGTGAGATCGCTCATACACAGAGCCCCAGGTGAGGGCCCCATGATCCTATGCAATGTAGGACTCTCAACCCTATGCCCTTAACAGGATGGGCCCTAAACTCTGAAGACTTGAAATACGAATTGTCAGTCTTAGATAGGTTCTTAGGGCTTAGGGCTTGGTGTAGGGTTTAGGGTTTAGGGTGCAGGGTTTCAGGTAAAGCCTACTGGGGGGGGGGGGACTGAGCAGTATACTTCTCACCCCGACAAGCTACATCATATCTCCAGCTATTCTCATTGTTAACCTACTCACTACGTGCCCCTGACCCTCCAACTACACCCTAACCTAATCCTTCCCTGTATCATTATACAAAGATTGAACTGCGGCCAAGAATTCTTTATATAGTAGATGGACATGGATTCCCATTAGCGCACATGTTGAGGACTATACTAAATGACCTAAGAAACCCATTTGAAAAGGATATATGCAGCGATGGAGGGCTTCAAGTTTGCTGGTAACAAGAACCTCGTGGTTCCTAAGAAAGCCGGTTTAGAGTTTAGAGGGGTGGGCCCCTGGACCCGGATCCCAGGCAGTACGGCCTGAGCCCTGACTCAAACTTCAGACCATAAGCCCAAACCCCAAGCCACTGGAAACAAAAAAACTGCAAAAACCCTAAAGCGTGCTAACCCCTTGAGCCTAAACCCTAAACCCTACACCACCAACCCTCCAAGCCTCCACTTTGCCCCAGGTAGCCGCTTCCATGGACACAACCACCACAACAGGAGCAGGAGCAGCAGAAACAACAACGACAACAACAACAACAACAACAACAACAGCAACAGCAACAGCAACAGCAACAGCAACAGCAACAGCACCAGCACCAGCACCAGCAGCAGCAGCAGCAGCAGCAGCAACAGCAGCAGCA